TCCCTCCATCCTGCCTCTTCCTCCGTGCCTGCCCTCCGCATCCCCTTCGCCCACCTTCAGCGGTGCCTGCCACAGAAGGCACTGGGCCTGCTCATGCTTCTGCAGCCAACCACTTTTCACAGCGGTCTTACAAACGTTGAGAAGCTACAAGCCACCAGCTACCGGGACCCCCCCTCCAGGAGCCGTTTCCTCTATGCTGACGGTTTTTCGGGTTATTAATGCACACACATCGTTCCTGGCCAGGCCCATCTTGGGCCCCGGATCGGTGTGTGTGTGTGTGTGTGGACCTCCCTGGCCCCCAGGAACGGTGCACCTGCACAGCCTTCGCTTTTTTTGCCAGGTCGGCTACGACGCGCTTCCGCGGATACAAACAAACTCAGTGCAGTGGGGAAAGAGGTGATCATTTTCTTATTCATTGTTTTGCCTATCGGCGCAGGCCCTCGCACCCCCTCCCCCACCTTCCCCTGGAGTAGATCTTGGCTGTTTTTGGCGCCTGTTTTAGGTAGGTGGAGTTTTTCTCCCATGTGACGCACTGCTGCAAACAGTCGCACTAATCAGAGGTCCGGAGCCAGACGCCCCCCTTCCGCCCAGTGTTGAAATTCGATGATCCTCAGGACGTGTGTTAGCCCAATGTGTGTTTACCCCGTTCAACCCAACCAGTCGATCATCACATCGCCTTCGTCCTAGTGAAGGGCCTCGGTGGGCAAACACACGTTGGCGCTAACACGGGTTCTGAGGATCATCGAGAATCGCCGAGTAAGACAAAGTTCAGCTGGGAGGGATCAAATCTCAGATGTGGTGCGAGCGCGCCCAGCTTGCCTGCGCCCCTCCCCTCGCGCCTTCCCACCTCGCCCTCTCGCCCTCCCCTCGGCGCTGCCCCCCGGCGGTCGGTCTGGAAGGGAGGAATGGCTCCCAGCCGTTGCCGCCTTGGCTTCGAGCCGCATCGCTGAAGATTTTTGGGGAGGCCTCTGCCTTTGTGGCATCCGATTCGGGGCTTGACTAGGACTCCCTTCGGTAGCAAATCATGGGAGCCTTGTCTACCCCGCAATTCTGTCTTAAGCGTCGACTAGCGTCGACTAGCGTCTGGGAGTCGATGATATAGCGCCGATTTAGCGCTGCTTAGCGTCAATTAGCGTCGATTTAGCGTCCACTGCCGTCGATTTAGCGTCGATTCGCAAGAGCCGACAAGATGGGAGGGGAGGCTCCCCTGAGTTGCCACGGACACCCCCGAGCTGGTCTCAGGCCGCTGCCTCACCTCACCTCGTCTCAGCGCTGCCCCCGCCCCCCTCCTCACCTCGCGCTCGCGCTCGGTCTCGGGCGCGGACGCTGGGTGGCGCACATCAGTCTGGGACGAGGCCGCGGCCTTGCCGCCGGCTCCGGCCCTGGCCTCGCCCCAGAGGAGCTCGAGGGAAGGGGGGCAATGCAAACAGGGGAGAGAGAGAGAGAGAGAGAGAGACAGAGAGAGAGAGAGAGAGCGAGAAACGAAACGAAACGAAACGCCGGAGGCGTGCGTGCTTCTACGGGGAGCACGCCGGTGCCCATTAGGGTATGGCGTGGAGGCCGTGGCCTCAAACATGTGAAACATAGGCAGACTCACGTGATAACCACCACTCAGTGCTCCCAGCCGCTGATAACCACCGCAGGTTGTTTGTGCTGTTGTCTTGGTGCTGTCGTGGTTGGGTCGCCGCTCGGATCTGCTCCTGCCCGGTGTCGGTGTCGCAGTGGTGCCCGCCCAATGTGTGGAGAAACTTCTGGATGTCGTCGTCCCATCGTTTCTGTTGCCCTCCTTGTTGCCGTCGTCCTTGTTGTCGAGTGTTGAGATTTGGGTTCCAATTAAGCGCTCTCTGTGTCCAGCGTGTCGGAGGGTGAAGAGGCACCGCATGTGCCCAGCGCCAGGCCATCTAGGTGGAGTACATCGGGTATGTCATGTGTCAACATCAGTGTCTTTGCTTCCCGTGTACTCCTGCGGATGAAGTCGGACCACAATTCGATGCCCTCGTTTTGCGTATTGCCCGGTTGCGTGCTTTCGTCGTCGCTGACGTCGTTCTGCGCGTTTGGCTGGTGTGCAGGTGGGTTGCTGCTAACGTCGGACTCGCTGGAGTCGTTTGGTGCTGTGCTGCTGGTGTCGTTGTGATTTTCTGGGGATGTCTCTGGATTGTGGTGTGGTGTCGGTGTCGCTGCCGTGCGTCTCCTTGGTGTTCCGATTCTGATTCGTACCATCCGTCGTTGTGTTCAGTATAACTGCTGCTTGAGAGGCTCTGTCAACGTCCACGTCTCTGCTCCGTACGTCATAGTAGGAATGACGGTGCCCTTGTATAGTCGTAGTCGGTGTCGCAGTGGATAGTGTTTGCTGGTGAGTTCTTGTCTCTGGCTGCTGAAACATGCCCATGCTGCTTGGATACGGTGCTTGGTTTCGCTTCTGGATGCGTCGTGGAAAGTATTGGTCTGGCCCAGGTAGGTGATGGTGTTTATTCGTGGTAATGTGACGATGCCCATTCCTGCTACTTTAGTTGTTCGGTCGCGGGGTCGAGGCTGATTGGTCATGATGTTGGTCTTGGTCGGGTGCAATTCCAGTCCGTGCTGTTTTGCTGCGGTGATGAGGTCGGAAAGCATTGCTCTTAGGTTGGGCAATGTCTGGCTTGTCAGCAAGATGTCATCTGCGAGCCGAAGGTTCGTGAGTATCGCCGCGTTGGTGTGTCCCAGTCGGATGCCTTGGTGTTTCCTCTGCCAAACTGAGATCATCAGCGGTGCTAAGACGTGTTGGAATAATGCATCGAATAGCAATGAGTTCAGTGGATCCCTTTGCTCTGTGCCGCGTTGGAGGTCGAACGTTTGACTGGTGGTGTCGGTGCGGACCACGGCTGTTTGGTCTTTGTACATGCGTCCTAGAATGTCTACGTACCCAGGCGTGACGTTTTGGTGAATCAGAGCTGCCCACAAGCTGTCGTGTTCGACTGTTTCAAAACCCTTTTGAAGTCTATGTCTGCAACCCAGAGAGTATCTTCCATTCGGCTGCCCTTTCACGTATAATTTTGAAAGTAAAGAGGTGGTCGCGCGTGCCTCGTCCGGGGCGAAGGCCCGCCTGGTCGTCGGGTTGCTGTCGTTCTAGGGTTGGTTGTAGCCTGTTGTGCAGTAGTCGGCTGAAAAGCTTATACAACATCGGTATTGTGCAGATCGGGCGATAATTCTGTGGAAGCGTAAACTCGCCCGACTTGGAGATTACAGTGATGACGGTCTTTTTCCAGCTGGCCGGCGTAGGGGCGTTTGCCTGTATGATGGTGTTGTACAATTGTAGTAAAGCACGCTGGAGCTCTGGACCTGGTTTTTGAAGCATTTCAGCGCGAATTCCACTAGTGTCTGGTGCTTTGCCGCCCTTTGAGCTGTGAGATTGCTGCGGTGAGCTCCGTCGGCGTCAAAGGTGGAGTCTCAGGTGGCTTGTGCGCTGCGGTTGGCGTGGGGTCAAGGCTGCGGGAAGAAGTATACAACTGAGCGTAAACATCTGCAAATGTGTCTGCTATCCCTTGCCTCGTTGTCTGCTTGCTGCCGTCGGCCCCCGCCATCTTTATAATTAGAGTCCTCCTCCGCCGTGTTTTGATGGAGCGGACGTTTTGAGGCCCTTGTACTGCTCCAACATGGTGCTGATTCGCTCCCTCCGGTCAGCGCGCTTCTGTCGTCGAATGTTTTGCCACATCTTTTTGCTGATTGTTCGTCGGGCATTGCTGTTTGCAGTAGGCGTGTTCTGTCGCTGCTTGATCAGGTCTTCGATGATGTCGTCGTGTTGCTGGTGCTTGCCGTCGTGGTTGCCGTTGGTCGTGGCTGCTCGCGAGGGCGCCGCCGCGGCGGCAGCTCCGTGAGTTGTGGAGGTGCACAGGCTCTTCTCGATGATGAGGTTGAGCTCCTGCGGGGCTGTCGGAAGTGCCGCCGGTTGCAGTTGGATACCCAAGTGTCGTCGGCATTCGTAAAAAGTCTACGCGTGCCCAATGACCGCTGCAAGTGTGGGCACGTGACGTGGGATGTCCTGGATGGCGTGTAATTTTACCGTTCGGTAGAACCGGGAAGCGAATGTGAAGTACGACAGCTTTGTGGTCCGAGTTGACATCTGCGATGTTCGTTGCCTCGGCGAGATATAGAGAGCGAGACAGGGAAGGAAGAGGGAGAGAGAGAGAGAGAGCGATAGAGAGAGAGAGAGAGACAGAGACAGACAGACAGGCAGACAGACAGGCAGGCAGACAGACAGACACAGACAGGGACAGGGGCAGCGAAAGATGGAAAGGCTTGCAGGATCCTGCAGAGCCAGGGGTGCATTGGTCCGGGCTTGCGTGCAGGATCCTGCAGGATCCTGCAGGTCCTGGGATCCGGCAAAGCCCGACTGACCCGGGTTTGGATTGACCCGGGTCAGTAGACCCTCGACTGGACGCGGCCGCGGCCTTGCCGTCGGTTCTGGCCCTGGCCTCTCGCCCCAGAGAAGCAGAAGGTTGTGGCAATGATGCGTCCGGAGAGGGTCTCCTCATGTTCCGCAGGGGGCTGCAGAAACGATGGCTCCCCCATAGGACGTACCGTCCCAAAGACCCCCCCTCCCCCTCCCTTCCGCCCAATGTCGAAACGCCGAATAAAAAAGTTCACATGGGGATCTTGAAACGCATCCGGAGCCAAGCTTGCCATGACGTCATTCCATTCCTCCAGTGGGGGCGTCGGCCAAGAGCTGTGACCAGGGGGCGTCGGGCCCTGGAGGATGCCTTGTCCGAGGGCGCGGCGGCGGTGATGTCCACGGCCATGCCTCCATTCGAGTTCCATCAGCTGTGGTAGGTTCGTGTCGTGTCGAATGGCGGCGACCCCGCCAGCGGCGTTCATCGTTGAACGCCGCGGGCGACCCAGAACTGTTCGAGGTGGAACGATTGGACTTTTCGGAAACGGCCGATCGTTCAAGGTTGAACGATCCCCGCGGTGTCCGGAACCAACGCCGAGGTCGGCAGGACACGAACCCCTGCATCCTCCTCGAGCGGCGCCGCCCGCGAGCCCGGGCAGGGCCCACAGAGAGCTGCAGCGCCACCTGGCGTCGCACGGCGCGGCGGACCGCCCGCGGCCGCCCGCCCACCCCGGGATGGGCACGGAGGGGCCCCGGAGAGGAAAGAGGAGGTGGTAGGGCTGCTGCGTTCCAAACAACTAAGAAATTTGGCCTGGACTCTGCCTGGCCGGGCAGCCCGCTAAGAAAAATAGCTGCCGAGCTCGTCCCTAACTTAACCAAGGGCATGCAAACCAAAGCACGCAAATAATACGATCCCCTGTATTTTCTTAGGTTTCCAAGTTTTTCGTGTTATATGTGTGTCTTTATCGGCGGCGGGAGGGACCGATCATGGTGGTCTGCCCTTCGGCTGGATCCCATTGATGGCGGCGCTGGCAAGCTCCTGGGCCGCCACCAGCGGCGCCCAGGGGCTGCGGCGTCCAAGGGCCGAGCGGCGCTGCTCAGAGTCTGCATGAGTGCGCCTGCGTCGCCATGCCCGACCCCCATCGCGAGCTCCTCGAAGTACGGGGGCGTCGTCAGCAGGAGGTCGGAGGCGAGTGCGCGAGGCAGACGGCCACGCCAAAGAGCACGGCGGGGGTCGCGACCACCGCCGACGCGGCCGCAAAAGCGAAGCACTGGCAGCCGCCGCGGGCCACGTCGACCCCGCGGGCGGGGCGGCGGGCCGTGCTGGCGTGGCCGCCAGCTGCGGAGCGGCCCTGGGCGGCGGCGGCGGCGGCGCGCGGCGCGCCGCGGCTGGCGCCCAAGGGCCAGAAACCGGCGCGGGCGCCTTGGGCCTGAAGATGGCGGGCGGACTGGCGACCAGGCGGGCGGTGGCCGCTGGGGGGGCCTCCGGCCGGGCGGCGGGACCTCAGTTAGGATTGCCTGGCACATTAAGGATAAGGGGGTCCTTTCTGCAGATGTATCGAGCCACAGTGCCCAGATGCTTTTATCCCTAATGCGAAGACGGGGACCTCAGTGAGGTCAAGTCTTCGTCGCATTGTTAGGGTCAGGAGATATTTTGTCCTCGAGAACCTCGCAACTCGACGCCAATAGACGCTAAGTCAATGCCAATCGACGCTGAATTGGCGCTCATCGACTGCCAGGCGCTAGCGTACGATAATGCATCTTAAAGACGGATTTGCGACGACATACGAGGCTCCCTTGAGTTGCTACGAGAGGGAAACAACTGGGCGTAAAAAGCTGGGCTGGATCTTACGTGTGGACGCCTGAGGTGGGCATGGAAAAACTGAGTTCGATGCCAAGCCGCGGATGTTGTCTAACCGACAGCGGCCGCTGCTGGGCACGCGAATTCCCGTGGCGCTTGGACATCGCCCGCGGCGGCGTCGACAGCGAGTCCTCTTCAACAAAAGCAGGATCTGCTGTCGGTATTCGTCTCCCTTCCTTCCGTACCCAATTCGATCGTGCCGATTCTCAGGGGGGACCTTGATAAGGTGGGACCGGCTCAGGGGGGGAAACATCGAGCTGGAATTGGCGATGCATCACCGAAAGCTCGGCGATATGCGCACGAAACTGGATGTTGCCAAGCTTGGCGTGCCATCGGGCCCAACATCGGCGATGGATGGGCGATTGGGAGCCCATCCCTCCCCCCCATGACGATGCCCCTGACATGATCCCCATCCTTTACGTGCCCGTTTCGGTCGTAACCATTCCCGACCTTTCTGGACGCCCGAAACGGGTACGGAACAGATTGGGCACGATGCCCACCTGCGAATGCTGTCCAACGCCGACAACTGCTGCTTCTGGGCAGACGGCTTGTCGTCTCAAGTGGAGACTGTCCGCGGCGACACCAGCAGCGATCCCTGCTCAAGCAGACAGACAGAGGAGCCAGGCGCCCAGACGGCGCCCGAGGCAGAGCTTGGCTGAGCAGTCAGGAAGCAATCAAGGAGCCCCCTCGGGCACCACTCAGAACGTACACGGTGCCATCGAACGGTGGGCAACGCCCACCAATCATGGATCAACGCCGAAGGCGGGGGTGCGGGCGGAAAGGGGGTGGGGGTTGGAGGGAGGAGGGAAAACATCCGGATGGGCAGAAACTGCTGGTGGTCTTCGTACCCACTCTTGGGATGACAAAAAGGTGTACCCATACGGTGGGGGAAACAATTACTGAACACTCCGCCTCCCGACCAAACTCAAAGTTGGCACGCGCGGGGGAGACTGCGGCGACCGAGGTGCAACTCATCAGGCCCACCGCCAACTCTGAACACTGGGGGGGGGGAGGGGGAGGCGCTGACAGACGAGTGTGGCAGGAGCGTTCGCTATTTTTGTTCCGAGGCCTATGTACCGCTGCTCCGCTGCTCCCCGGACCCCACCCGGGGCGCGTGCTCTGACCTGGACTTTGAGGAGACTCCGGCGGTGGCGACACGAGGGCCCGCCAGGCCCTCCAAAAGAAGGAAAAGACAGAGGGAAGGGCAGGGGTACGGGCCTCGGAAAAACTCGTCTGTCAGCGCCTCACCCCCCCCCCAAATGTTCACAAAATTGGCGGTGGGTCTGATGAGGCTGCGCCTCGACCGCACCCCCCCCCGTGCGTGCCAACTTTGAGTTGAGTCCTGGGGGGGGGGGAGGGGGGCGTGCTCCGCAGCTGCTCCCCCCTGCCCCGTCCGGTCTTCCGCAACGCCCTGCCTTGTGCTCTTCTCGCTCGTGCTGTTCCTCATGTTGTTTGACGTTGCGCGTACATCGATCAGGGGATCGTTGCGTCATGTGGCTAGGAAACACGTGAAGAGGCCGACTTAGGTCTGAGACAAACAAATCACGCCTAGCTGGCGCAGCGGAATACAGGAAGGCGCAAAGGGCTAAACGAAAGACAGTGAGCCCGCAAGGGCAAAGAGTATGCGAAGAAGAGGAAGAGGACTTTCTCGACCTCCAGCCCCCCTCTCCCCCTCTTCCCCATTGTGCAAGGCGCCCTTCCTTCCCGATAGCACAGCAAATGGTTGATCAAACCCTGCAATTGCCATTTGGGGGATCGAGGTCCTGGAGGACACCCCGGTCGGCGATAGGAAAGGACCTCACGCAATAAGGGATTGGTGGGTGGGGTCGGTCCTCCCCTATCCTCTCTCCTGCCTCTTCTCGTGTCCATCCCATCTCCCCGATCGCCTCCCCCTTTATCTTCTCTCGCCACGCCCGTCCTCTCGCTCCCATTCCCCCCTCCATTTGCTGCTCCGTCGGCAGGTTCTTGCGAGAATCGCTCGTGTGAGTCGTAAGTGTTTTTTTGGTCGTCCCTGCCTCTTCCCCTCCGTTCAGCGATGGGATCCAGGCCCTGTTCACTTCCCGTGGCCGTTCGAGCTCTTCTTACATCGTTTTCGTGTCCGCTGCCCCTCTCGCAGGGGGGCAGTGGTCTTCCCAGCACGGTTTTTCGGAAACGCCACCTGCTACCAGAGATGCTTGGCCCCTCCTCTTTTCCGTGCAGTCGGACCGAGGTACAATTCCAAGGTCGGTTCGGGGCAGGTACCCTAGTGCTCTTCGTGTTTGCTGGATGTGCCTGTGCATCCTAGGAGGTTGCCCTTGGATGCTCTGTGCATTTTGCCCGGCGGAGGATCTCGTGTTCCGGAGGGAAGTTTTTCTGTCCTAGGTTCGGCTGTAGCTGTTCTTCCTGACTCATTGGCCAATTGTTTGTGGGATGGTCTTCCCCAGCGGTGGCATCTTTCGCAAGGCCCGCTGCTATATCAAGGTGCGGGGGATGGGCGAACGATCTTACGCTGCCCTTGGGTGCGCGGCTGAAATGGGGACCGGCTGTGCGGACTATTGCTGCGGAGCTTTGAGCGGGGTGCGGGGAAGTGAGAAGCGGCGAGCCTTCTCAGACGGCTCGGAAGCCCCCCGGCCTTTTTGAGAAGTTGTCTGGCCATTCCCCGAAAACGCAGACAATTTCTGAGAAGACGCGAGGGCAGCGCGCGTGTACACCACACCGCAAAGGTACACCTCAACGGCCGCATACACCACACCGCCGAGGTACACCTCGGCGGCCGCGTGCAACACAGCGCCAGTGCGCACCACCGTGTACAGCGCTTGTGTATACCACAACGCCTGCGTGCACCACAGCAGCCGTGTGCAATACCAGCACCAGTGTACACCACAGTGCTTGCGTGCACCACAGTGCCTGTGTATACCACGGCGCCTGTGTGCACCGCAGCAGCGGTGTGCAACACAGCACAAGTTTTGAAGATATATTCATATACATAATTTGAGAAAGGATCCTTACGACAAAATAGAGCGACCGCGGATTCCACGGGCACCGAGTGTTTATATATAGGATTTGGAAAGGAATCCTTATGGAAAGAGGATCGCCACTGGAATCTACGAGCCCTCCCGAGTCCTCCCGCATCATCCTAGCGCCTCCCATCTGCGCCCACGAAGCACCCGCAGAATTGTCCGTCCGAGAACCAAGTGTATTGATTAACTCGACCATTTTGCTGTGCACACTGCGATGTGCACGTGCGCTGTTGCGTCGATCCGCACGGTGGGGGAACGGTGCGGGATGAGGATGAGGAGGAGGAAGAGGAGGAGGAGGAGGAGGAAGAGGAGGAGGAGGGAAAAGGGAAAGACAGCGCATGCTAATATCAGCACTTCCCTTGCGTGGTAATTTAGCTTTCCGCAGCAAATCGTCATCTGCATGATCCTTCTACGTGTCCTGTGGACACACGCGCTGTGGTGTACATCAGCGTTGCGTTGCACGTGGATGCTGTGGTGTACGCAGGCGCCGTGGTGTGCAGAGGCGTTACGGTGCACGCAAGCATTGTGGTGTACATGGGCGCTGTGTTGCACATGGTTGCTGCGGTGTACACATTCGCTGTGGTGTACACATTCGCTGTGGTCTAGATAGGCCTGTGGTGCACGCAGGCAGTGTGGTGTACACAGGCGCTGCGTTGCACACGGCTGTTGCGGTGTACGCAGGCGTTGTGGTGTACACGCGCGCTGTGGTGCACGCGAGCACTGTGGTGTACACAGACGTTTTGGTGCAGATCGCCACCTACATGCTGTTCTCACTTGGCCTCGGTCATCCCCAGGCATTCCCGGACGCCGCCAGCGCGGAACGTGACGTCATCTGGGGGGTGGGTGGGGGGGGGGCCAGTGACGGCCTCTATCCGGGAAAGTAAAAAACAGACTTATGCGGCCCGATAGCCCAAGCCGCCCAGGAACGTGCGGTTTCGCTATCAGGGACCTTCGTGGGCGACAAGCATGCGCAGACTCGCGGGCCAGGCCCCTGAGCAGCGACCCCGCAGATACGGAGCGTTTTTTTTGTCGCGGATGTTCCGTGCGACCGCGTATCCGCGGGATCGGGCCCTGGAGTCTATACCGTGAGGTCGCGGATGCGGATACGTTCGCCGCTCGTGAAACGCATCGCCGATCTATTGCCGATACAACGCATATTCCAGCCCGATATTTGTCCCCCTTGAGCCAGTGTTCCGATTGTTCCCCCTCGACTACACAGGTCCATCTCGCTCCTCCCCCTCCGCCATCGCAGGAACGAGGGCGACAGTCAGAGCAGGCGGGACGGAAGAGGAAGCAGGGTGCGAGTTGAACGGTGTTTCCGCGATCCGTTTGAACGTTTTCGGTTTAATTTCGTTTTGCAGGGAGACGGAACGGAGACAAAACGAGGGAACACGAACACAACAGGAATTTGACAAATGCGTCTATCTCGAACCCTGGGAGGAAGGACGTGTTAGCGACGGAAACACGGGTTCGTCTGCGCCGACAATGGCGCCTAAGTTGCCCTCCCAAGCTCGTGTGTAAGCGCCCTCGTCCCTAATGTGGCGTTCCGCGTGAGCCGCAGCGAAAGGTCGCGATGTCATCCCGCGTACTACCTTTTTTGTTTCGTCACCCATGGGGATTTGCACACCCAGACCCCCGACGTCATTTTTTCATGACGTCGGGCCTCAAAGGTCTCGACCCATGCCCCGGAACTGGTTTTTCGTCCCGAGACTTTTTTTGACTGCCCCGATGCCCAGTAAGGGCCCCAGAGGGCGGACATAGCGACACAAACCAACGTCCTGGTTTCTGCTTTTGTTATGTTTTGACATCGGGTGGTCTGGTCAATCGTCATGGGTGCCCAGACTGGGAGGGCAGCTCCTCGCTCGGGGCTGGCGTCTCCCCTCCCGCCGGCTGCCGCCGCCGCCCCTGCCGCAGGCAGCCCCTCCTCCCCTCCCCCGGGCGGGGTCGTGAACGCAGGCCCGGGGGTGCAGAGGCGGCGTGGCCCTGCCTTCGGGCGCCTCCTCTGCTTCTTGGCGGCTCTGCGGCCTCGTGTTATAATGCTGCAATCTCCTTTAGCCTTCACTACCAGAAAGAATTTCGAGCACCAAGAAAGCACCGAAACTGGAGGGCTTTCACTTGTAGGGCCCTTGGGAGGCGATACTCGTTCGACACTGTTTCGATAACTTACTGTCCGGGGTGCTCGAAATTCATTCTGGGACGTTTCCCTGAAGTACGATGGGAGCAGCATAGGCCTCGGGATGCGTTCCAGCGGCTGCGCCTCGCCGAGAGCCCTCTGGGGCTGCCGGGATCGCCCCGGAGCGCCCGCTCGAGGCCCAAGTCGAGGGCCCGAAAACCACCAGGCGTCGCCAACGCCTCTTCTTCTCACCACCCACCAAGCCACCCCCAACCCAACCCGAAGGCCTCTGCTCTCCATTTCCGGTATGGGGAAACGTTTTGAACAAGAAAACATGTGGAGCGTACCCCCCCCCAGCCCGACATTCAGGTCTTCGGGTTGGGTTGGGGTGGTTTGGTAGGCAGTCACCTTCATGGGGCCCCCAAGCGGTGTGGTGACCATACAGTATGGTCACCACACAGTATTACTGCGTGGTGAGTCGGTGGGGGTTCGGCTTAGGCCGGGCATGTCCTCCTACAGGCGGATCTTCGACGACGAATAAACAGAGTCAAATAACAAACAAGAATAGTAAAACAAAATTGTGTTTTTTTCCTTTCTCTCTCTGTATATCTATATGTCATGTTTGGACTATGCTTCGAAGATTCCTCCTGTGCAGTGGGGCTCCATGCCGAGACACATCCTACTTGCTTCCAGGGTGCCCTGGGTTTCTTGGGTTTCGACGATGGTTTTGCTGTGGAAAGGGTGACGTCCCCACGCCAAAAACCAAGGGACGTCCTGGGGTCTCAGGGTTGGGCTTTTTGTGGCAGGTCTCTCCTGTGCTGGGGCCTCCACTGGAGAGCGACACTTCGGACTGCAGGTTCGCGGCCCAGCGCGCGGTTTTGGGCCTCGGGCCCTGCTCCCGAGGGCCTCCTCGGGCGGCCGCCGGCCTCCGAGGGGGGGGGGGGTCCCAGGAGGCGGGTGCGGGTGACGGGCACCGTGTGCGGTGGGTCCCTTGGGATCCCGAGGTCACCGCGCGGTCCGTCACAGTGTGCGGTCCTGGGACCCCGCATCCTCTGACATGGACATTCCCGCCGTGTCTCTCTCTCTCTCTCTTTCTCTCTCTCTTGCCCCTCCCCGTCCTGGCCGCTCCCTCTCATGCCCTCTCTCTGTGGTCCATGGGCCTCCTGCTCCTCTTCCTCCTGAGGGATGAGGGGGGAGGGACGAAGAGGAGGCAGGGAAGGAGGAGGAAAAGGAGGAGGAGGAGAAGAAAGAGGTGGAGGAGGAGGTGGAGGAGGATGGGAGAGAAGGACGAGGAGGAGGAGGAGGAGGAGAAGGCGGAGGAGAGGCAGGAGGAGAAGGGGTGAGGAGGAGGAGGAGGAGGAGGAGGAGGAGGAGGATAAAAGAGGAGGAGGAGGAGGAGGAGGAGGAGGATAAAGGAGGAGGAGGAGGAAGATGGACCAGTGTAAACTCAGGATTCATTAACGACGTTGGAATGAGCCCTCCCTTCAAGCTCCCTCTTCATGGACCACCCACAAGGATTCATTTCCTCTGAAGGGAATGCATCTTTGGGAGACAACCGTTTTGAAGATCCTGAAGCGTGCCAAGGCACCACCCTGGGGACTCAAACGCCACGAATCAACCTGACTGTTGTGTCTTGGCGATCCTGAACTGTGACACCGCGAATCAACGTAACTGTTGTGCCCTGACTCAACCGCTCGAAACTACGACTTATGGTTCATTAACCGTGAGAGTCCGTGTTAATCTTGCAAATTTCTAAGACGAATGTGCGCGGCGTCAAGTCCGGAGCCACATTTTGAAAAGGGACAGGAATTGCCGTCAATCCGTGAAGCTGTTGCATATTCGCAATACTAATGTGCGCGGCGCTAAGGCGAAAGCCACATTTTGAAGACGGCCTGCCCTCAATCCGTGAAACTCCTTACATTTTGAAAGACGAATGTGCGCGGCGTCCAGGCAAGAGCCACATTTTGAAGTCCGCCCGCCATCAATGTGTGAAGGTCTTGCATGTTTAAGACGAGTGCGCACGGCGCTAAGGCGAGTTCCACGTTCTAAAAACCACCCGCCTTCCATCTGTGAATCTGCTGCCGATTTCAAGATTCAGGCTGATCTATCGTCAGGAGGTCTCAGGCGAAACGCCCAGCCTGCCCTTCTGACTGGCCTCGGGTTGCGACAGATGAACGAAGGAGGAGGAGCTAGAAGGAGTTCGAGGAGGAGGACGTCGTAGAGACGAGGAGTGCCCTGCGGCTTCTACAGATGTTTGATCTGGCCTCTCAGAGGAGTGGGCGGAGGAAGGATGTCGCCGCCCCTCCTCCCCCCTTCTTCTCCTGGGGGAGGGGTCGGAGGAGGAGGAGGGAGAAGGATGAGGAGGACTGAGGGAGCACCAGGCAGCAGCAGCAGCAGCAGCAGGAGGAGGGCGAGGCATGGCGAGGATGAGGAGGAGGAGGAGGATGAGGAGGGGGGGGAGGAGGAGGAGGAGGAGGAGGAGGAGGAGGAGGAGGAGGAGGAGGAGGAGGAGGAGGAGCAAGAGGAGGAGGAGGGGGAAGAAGAAGAAGAAGAGGACTCATAATAATAGTAGTAATAGCCGTAAAAGTAGTAATAGTAGCAATAGTAGTAATAATAGTAATAATAATAATATTCAGAATACAAATAATATTAATAACAATGAATAATAATAGTAATAAGACTAATAATAACAATTTAATAATCATAGTAGTCATACTAAGTATATTCATACTAGTAATAAGAAGAAGAATGATAGCACGAATACTAAGAATTATAATAATACTAACACAACCATTACGAATAGTAATACGAATAATAGTAATACTAATAATAATAATATCAATAATAATAGTAATAGTAATAACAATAATACTACTAATAATAATAACAATGATAATCATCATAATAATACTAATAATAATAATAATTATAATATTAATAATACTAATAATATAATGCGCGTTTGCCTCCTCAGCGTCTGCCTCCTCCTCGTCGCCGTCGTCCTTCTGCTCCTCCTCCTCCCCCTCCTCCTCCTTCTCTTTCCCGTTTCTCTGCTCTGCTTCCCGTCCTCCCTCACGTCGACGCCGTGCGAGGATCTGATCGCAAATCTCATAGCCCTCGGCCTCAAGGCCGTGCACGACGAGATGGTAAAGGTCAGCCTGGGAGCAACACGCAGGGAAGGGGACCAGTCTTCGTTCACCATGTGCTGACGGAGGGCGGGCAGGAGGACGAACCAGGAGGAGGAGGACGAACCAGGGGGGGAGGAGGAGGAGCAGGAGAAGGAGAAGGAGGAGGAGGAGGAGGCGGCGGAGGGATCAGGTGGAGGAGGAGGAGGAGGAGGAGGAGGAGGAGGAGATGGAGGAGGAGGAGGAGGAGGAGGAAGAGGAGGAGAGAGTAGTGAGAAGGAGGAGGAGGCAGGAGGAGGAGGAGGAGTTCGAGGAGAGGAGGAGGAGGATGGGGAGAAGGAGGAGGAGGAGGAGAGAAGGGGAGAGGAGCAGGAGAAGGGGGGGGGTGGGGAGGAGGAGCAGGAGGAGGAGGAGGAGGAGGAGGAGGAGGAGGAGGAGGAGGAGGAGGAGGAGGAGGAGGAGGAGTGAGGAGTGAGGAGGAGCAAGGAACGAGGAGCGAGGAGCTTGGAGGAGGAGGAGGAGGAGGAGGAGAAGGAGGAGGAGGAGGAGGGGGACGAGAAGGAGAAGGCGGAGGCGGAGGCGGAGGAGGAAGAGGAGGAGGAGGACGAGGAGGAGGAGGATGAGGGAGGGATGGAGGGAGAAGGGGGGGGGAAGGATGGAGGGCGGGAGGGAGGGGGAGGGGGAGGAGGGATGGATGGATGGAGGGAGGGAAGGAGGGAGGCAGGAGGAGCAGGAGGGAGGAGATGCAGGATGAGGGCAGAAGCTGTGAGGAGGAGGAAGAGGAGGATACCAAGACGAGTAATACGAATACGAACAATACCATGCTAAGAAGAAGGCACAGCGTACTACGACTACGAGTAATACGAACATGCGGATACTTCTCATAGTATTAGTAATGTTTCGAACAATCTGAGGACGACCAATCCTATGATTAATGATAAGATGAATGATACCCTGAATGCGAATAATGGGACTATGAATACGAATCATAATGCGAATGTGAGTGGTATTATGAATGATCACATTACGAGTAAGGATTCTGCGATTGATAAACGAATGACTAATCATAAGATGCAGACTACAACTAATAAAGCTACTCGCAATACCAAATAAGGATACGACTCAGAATACGAAGACTAATACTAATCAAACTAAGCAGCTAACCGTATTAATGATAATAATGACAAGCGGATGACGAGGAGGAGGAGGAGGAGCAGGAGGAGGAGGAGGAGAGGGATGAGGCGGTGGAGGATGGGGAGGAGGAGGAGGATGGGGAGGAGGAGACGGAGGAGGAGGAGGAGATAGAGGAGGATGAGGAGGAGGAGCAGGAGGAGGAGGAGGAGGAGGACGAGTAGTGAGGAGGAGGAAGAAGAGGAGGAGGATGAGGGGAAGGAGGAGGAGGAGACCAGTGGAAACCCAAGAGTCATCAACGATGTTGGAATTAACCCTCCCTCCAAACTCCCTCTTAATAGGCCCCCACAAAGGTGCATCTCCTTGGAGGGCACTGCCTCGTTGAAAGACAACAGTTTGAAGATTCTGGAGCGTGCCAACACATTGTTCATGGGATTTCAACGCCACGTATCAACCTGACTGCGGCGTCTTGACGATCCAGCGTCGTGCTAGAACGCCATTTGTGGGGGACTTCGACACAGTGAATGAACATAACTGCTGCGCCCGCATAATCCAGTATCCATCCACAGCACCATTGCTGGTACGTTGCTTATGGGAACCCGTGAAACTCTTGCAATTGTTTGAAAAGAATGTGCGCGGCGTTGAGGCGAAAACCGCATTCTGAAAAGGAACCGCCCTCTATCCGTGAAGCTCTTGCAAATTTGAAAAAGGAATGTTCGCGGCGCGGAGGCGAGAGCCACATTTCCGTGACACCCTTTCAAAGTTCACAACAAAGGTTTGCGACGCTAAGGCGAGAGCCACATTTTGAAAACCACCCGCACTCAATCCGTGAAGCTCCTGCGAATTTGAAAACGAAAGTGCGCGGCGCTAAGGCGAGAGCCTCATTTTGAAAACGACCCGCCCTAAATCCGCGAAACTCTTGCAAATTTTGAAAACGAATGTGCACGGTGCTAAGGCGAGAGCCACATTTTGAAAACGACCCGCCCTCCATCTGTGAAGCTGTAATCACTTTTTTAAGTTTCAGGGTCAAACATGGTGAGGATGTCTCAGGCGGAACGCCCGGCCCTCCCTACAAACTTGCCTTGGGGTGCGACAGGGAGTAGTTATCTAGAAGGAGAAGGAATGAAGGAGGAGGAGGAGGAGAAGGAGGAGGAGGAGGAGGAGGAGGATGAGGAGGAGGAGGAGGAGGAGTGAGGAGTGAGGAGTGAGGAGTCAGGAGTCAGGATTGATAAGGAGTGAGAAGGAGCTGGAGGAGGAGGAGGAGGAGGAGGAGGAGGAGGAGGAGTGAGGAGGGGTGATTGCCGCTGCACCCTCTCCCGCCAGTCGTGTCGGGTCTTCCTTCGGGCGAGGCTTGCAAGACCCGAAGGCGCCAGCGAGGATTGGCAAAGCCCACAGACGCAGGTCCTGCGGGCCACACGACGGGGCGCGTGCCCCGTGGCCTGGACCAGGAGGAGCACGTGCTCCGCATACGGTGCGCGAAACTGGGCACGCAAGGAGACCGTGCTCCGCGCGCCCTTCTCGGGGCAGGGGGCGCCGGAGGCCGTGCTCCGACGCCCAACTCACCCACCACCCTTTCCATGGGTGGCCGCTGGCGACGGCGAGCAATCTTCTCTCCTGTTGGCCCTCTACGGGCAAACAAGGGTGACGTTCGGACTGCTACCCGCCCGTTTTTCTGGGAAGGGGTCCCAGTGGCACAGGTGCCTGAGGAGGAGTGAGGGGGATGAGAAGGAAGAGGATGATGAGGAGGAGGAGGAGAAGAAGGAGGAGGAGGAGGCGGAGGAGGAGGAGGACGACGACGATGACGACGACGAGAGGAGGAGGAGGAGGAGGAGGAGGAGGAGGAGGAGGAGGACGAGGAGGAGGAGGAGGAGGTGAAGGAGAAAGCGGAGGAGAAGGGAGGAGAAGGAGGAGGAGGATGAGGAGGACAGGAGGGAGGGAGAGAGGAGGAGGAGCTGGGAAGGAAGGAGGGAGCGAGAGCGGGAGGAAGGGAGGGAGGAGGAGGAGGAGGAGGAAGAGGAGGAGGAGCATGATGAGGACGACAAGCACGAGGACGAAGACGAGGACGAGGAGTGGAGGAGGACAGGAGGAGGACGAGGAGGAGGAGGACGAGGAGGAGGAGGACGAGGAGGAGGAGGAGGAGGAGGAGGAGGAGGACGGAGGACGGAGGAGGGAGGAGGAGGAAGAGGAAGAGGAGGAGGAGGCGGCGGAGGATCAGGAGGAGGAGGAGGAGGAATGGGAGGTGCAGGATCAGGAGGAGGAGGAGGTGGAGGAGGGGGAGGAGGAGCAGGAGGAGGAGGAGGAGGAGGGGATCAGGGACGAGGGAGGAGGGAGAGGAGGAGGAGGAGAAGGAGGAGGAGGAGGAGGAGGAGGGAGGAGGAGGGGGAGGTGGAGGAGGAGGAGGAGGAGGAGGAGGAGGAGGAGGAGGAGGAGGAGGAGGAGGAGGAGGAGGGAGGAGGAGGAGCAGCAGCAGCAGGATCAGGAGCTGGAGTCAGGGGGAGTGAGGAGGAAGAGTGGGGAGGAGGGGGGGCGGGAAGGGCCACAGGAGGCCCACAACAACGAGTGCCCGCAGGGGGTCCCACGAGAGGCCCCTGGAAGGCCTGGGAGGCCCGCGGGATGGGCCAGGACGAGGAGCGGGATGCGCAAGGAGGAGGGGGGAGAGGCTCATTTCGATTCCTTGGATTCGATTCGATTTCGACAGTTTCCGATTCCGATTCGATTCGACTTTGGATTCCAATGTGGGTTCCGATTTCTCAATGGAGGCCTACTCGCCTGCCGATCTCCGCCGATTCAACGTTTCCCGACTCGGCTGCAGATGTCCACCGACCCGATCCATTTCGATAGCCGATCCGACTGATCGATTCGATTCTGTAGGCGCTTGGGGTGAGCGGGGGGAAGGAACGGCCACGGTCAGCCACGCGCAGAGGGGGGTATGGGGGAAGGGGGGAAGGCTTCTTAGAAGCACCTTGCATCTTTGAGGGCGCGGGCCGTGTCTGCAGACGCAGGGCTGGCGCCTCCTCGGAAGCAGCCTCCAAGAAGCCTTCCCCGCGCGCCGCCAACATGTCCAGATCCTTGACGATATGCTCTTTTTTCAATCCCAGCGTTTTTCCCAGATATCGGACCCCAGGGCCCATGATCGGGCCCTGGCATTCTCAGGGATGGATCCTGGACGCAAAGCTACCCCCAGGGAAGGGGTCAGGAGCTCTGGCGCCGCGGATTAATCAAATCAGATTGGAGGATGTCCGTGTACCCTTGCCTCGGAGAACACAAACGGCACAAACACGAGTTCTCAGTCCCCAAATCCCCAGGACGGAAGTTGTTTCCTCTTGGGCCCGAACATGAAGCCTTCAACATGAATGCATCTCTCCTCACCCACGGCTGCTGCAAGCATCTTGACGCGCGGCGACGCCGATGTTTTCTTGCCAACCGCTTGTCGCCGCTGGCGCCTGAAGAGAAGAACCTTCGCCCTGCGTAAGTACCCTTTCTGCGGGGAGTGAAACAATGGCATGGACAATTTCTCTGAGGTCCGAGTGGGTTTCTTGGATCAGTGCTGGGCCCCCGTGGCGACGCCGATTCGAAAAATCCGCGCGGACCTTCGACAGTTCATGCTTATGCAGAGTGTTCTTCCTGCTGCTGCTGCTGCTGCTGGCCCCACTCTGGCTGCCGGGGGGGGGCATGGGTAAAATTCTTGGACTTGTACCGTCGGACTGAGGCATAAGATTGAGGTCGGCTCGGGGAGGGTACCCTTCTGTTTTTGGTGCTGGTTGGATGCTCTTGTGCATTCTGGGGAGGGTACCTTCGGATGTTCTGTGCGTTTTGGCCAACGAAAGGTCTCTTGTTTTTGAA